TTCATCTTGCGGTTTTGCGATATTATGCTTTCGTTGCCAATGTTAATAAAAAAAAGTATAGGTAATCAGGCTTGGCATTGTTATTATCATTAATATTTATTTCAGCAGGGTTGCTGAGCTTTGTAGCACGATTATTTTTTTAGGGAAAATGGTAAAATCAACAAAATCCACATCGGAGATCAGCACATCTCCTCATCAGACTTCTTTCTCTAGACTTCAGCAAGCATTGTTGGCATTCAATACTGCTTCAATTCAATGCGTACACCACTAACAACCAAATTTTTTCCTCGCAGACAACTTTTAAAATTTTACTGGCTTCGGTGGATCCCCTGCTGCTACATTTTTCCCATATTCCGAAAACTGGTAAACAAATATAAGGATTAGATCTAGCGATGGAAAGTTGCCTCGAGGCTGAGTTCCAAACCTAAATTCGGAGCAGTAAAAAATAAAAAGCAAAATGGCATATTTTATTTTGTTCTATTTATTAGAATATTAAACATTTTTTCTGGGTATTGGACCAAACCAATATTTTTTAAGAGATTGAGTCATAAGTAAAAAAAAAGTAATTTCTTCGATATTCGAAGTTAGCCTCCGAAATCTAGATATGGGCCTTCGAAGTTCGAAATAGGACCTTTGGTAAAAAAATATATTTAGTTATTGCATAAAAATAACTAAAAACCTAAAAATATAGACGTAGACCCCTTTTTGCTCTTATTTAAATGGTATATAACTTTTTTTGTGCAAACTTATAGTACAGGTGTCAAAGTTCAGGTCTTCGAAAAATTAAATTCCTTATATATCAAACAATTTCGAACTGATAATTTACCGATAATTTATATCGTTGTAGAGGTAATTAAACCCTCTTTCTTTCGATATGCATATTTGTATACTTCGTATATAAAAATTTTAGAAAAAAACAACACCTTTTCAAAAAAAATTTTAAACAAAAATATTACTAACCGATTTTTAATTGGGCCTGTTGTAAAAACGATTAAATCCCCTTTTGGTATCGTTGTAAATGCGATGAAACCCCTTTCTTCTGAAATGCATATTTGTAAACTTCGTAAAAAGTAACTGGTTTTTTATAAAAAAATATTTTATTCAACAATTTTATAATGAGCTCGAGGCCATTTTTTAAATGAAAATTTATTGTGGAAAAGCATCAAAAATTTGAAAAACTGGTAGAAGTGATAGCTATTTCGGAAATCACCACATTTCCTCATCAGACTTCTTTCAGTAGGATTCGAACCGACGATCCCACTGACTCAGCCAGTTGCCTATGCACCGTGCTAAGTACGCCTTGTAAATTATCGTTTGCTTATTTCCACTATTTTCATTTTTGTTATGCCAACACAATCAAGCACAGCTATTCCGCTGCAATTCACTTTATCATGTGGTTGTTGGTATTGTTGGTTTGTGCTAATAATTCTATTTATTTTTTTATTTTTTTATTTTTATAAGCTTATACAATGTTAAAAACAAATATATAAACTAAATTGTCATGCAGCGCTAGCATCAGAGGCT